ACTGAACCTAATAGAAGAGAAAGTGGGAAATTAAATTAGTTGGCACAGGAGACAATTTCCTAAACAGAACATCAATAGCTCAGACACTAAGGTCAACAATTAATAAATGGGACCTCATGAAAATGAAAAGCTCTGTAAGGCAAAGTACACTGTCAAAAGGACAAAACAGTAGCTTACAAAATGAGGAAAGATTTTTAGCAATTCCACATGTGACATAGGGTTTATATCCAAAATAAATAAAGAACTCAGGAAATTAGATATTATCAAACCAAATAACACGATTAAAAACAGGATACAGATCTAAACAGAATTCTCAAGAGAGGAATCTCATATGGTCAAGAAATCCTTAAAGTCAAGTCCAACATACTTAGCAAGCAGGAAAATGTAAATCTAAAACATTTCTGAGATTTCTTTTTACACCTTTCAAAATGATTAAGATCAAAAACACAAGTGAAAATTCATGCTGGCAAGAATGTGGAGCAAGGAGAACATTCCTCCATTGCTAATGGAATTTCAAATTTGCACAGCCACTTTAGAAGTCAATATGGTGGTTCCTCAGAAAATTGGAAATAATTTTGCCTCAAGACTCAGCTATACAATTCTTGGGCATATACCCAAAGGATGCTCCATCCTACCACAAGGACACTTGATTTTTTTGTGATAGTCAAAAACTGGAAACAACCTAGATGTTCCTCAACTGAAGAATGGATAAACAAAATGTGATATGTGATACATTTACATGATGGAGAATTACTCAGCTGCTAAAAGATAAATAACATGAAATTTGCAGAGAAATTGATTGAACTAGAAAATGCATCTTGAGTTAGGTAACCTAGACCCAGAAATACAGACATGGTATGTACTCACTTATAAGTGGATATTACTTCTAAAGTAAAAGAAAATCATGCTACAAATCCACAGAACGAGAGAGGCTAAGAAACAAAGGAGGGATAAAGGAGAGACAAATGGATATCCTTGGGAAGGGAAAATAGAACAGATTTCATTAGTGGACTGGAGGCAGGTGGGGTTGAGAACAGGAGGGATCAGCTTGGTGGAGGGAGGATGGAGTGAGAGAGTATTGGGAAAGAAAACAATGAAATTGGGGAGCATTTCAGGGACAAGGTAAAAACCTAGTGCAGTAAAAACTTTTGGGGATATATGAGGATAGCCCTAGCAAAGACGCCTTGTAAAATGGGAGGGGGGAAGGAACCTGAAATAGCCATCTTTTGTAACTAGGCAAAGCTTCAAGTGTAGGGACTGGGGCACCACTCTGACACAAAACCTTCAACCAACAATTTGTCCTGCCTTCAAGATTTTCCAGAGTGAAGGTGGTACAGAGCTTGTCAGGGTGACCAACCATTGACTGGTCCAACTTGGGACCCATGCCAAGAGAGGGACCCACAGCTGACACTGCCTGATGAACAGGAATCAGAGACTGGATAACCTAGAGACCTAGGACAGAACCAAACAGGACTAGCCAGTAAATAAATAGATAAATAAATAAAACAGCAATGATATGATTCCTAATGATATGGGAAGGACAGGAGGGAAAAAACCTGTGATTTGTATGTAATATATGAGGGAGAATAAATTTTAAAAAGAAAAGAAAGTACCAATTCATAGAGTTTCAATGCTATATTTTTTCATTCAAATGCAATTCGTAAGTGAAATTGGACACAATTTGAGACTTGTTTACTTTGTAAAAAGTGTTGGTTTAATATGTCAGTCATACAAAGATAGTAAGAAAGACAACATACGCCTGATATGGATATCTCCTCAGAGGCCTTCAAGAGTCAGACATATTCAGAGGCAGATGCTCACAACTAGCCATTGAACTGATCATGGGGTTCTCAATAGAGAAGTTAGAGTGAAGACTGAAGGAGCTGAAAGGATTTACGGCACCATGAGGAGAGCAACAATACCAACCAACCACAGCTCCCAGGGTCTAAACCACCAGCCTGGGAGCACTTAGGGGGGGATCCAGGGCTTCAGCTGAATATGTAAAAGTGGAGGGCCCTGCTGGGCATAGGTGGAAGAAGAGAACCTTGACCTCATGAAGGCTGGATGCCCCAGGGGATGGGAATTTTGAGGGTGGGGAGGTGGGAGTTGGGGGGTGTAGATAGAGGTTACATCCACAGAGAAGAAGGAGGAGGGGCGAGGGGATTGGGGGTTCCGAGGGGGTGGTGGGGGATGGGGTAAGAGGACAACATAGGAAATGTAAATAAATCATCCAATAAAAAAAAAAAGAAAGACAACATACACTGAATTTTCCCCAAATGTAAAATAGTTGATATTACTACCAAAATTTACCTGTGACTTTTTGCCTGTACGAATTTTCTTCATTGCATCATGAGCTGTAACTCTGGTGAGTTTACTCACGGAGGTGTATGAGAGAAGCGTCATGGAGACAATCATATGTATTCTGAAAGGACTAACTTTAAAATAGGTATAGTTTTAATACAAAAGAGTAAAACTGTTCAAGGAGAAGAAATTGAAAGTAACTGTTGGGAAATATGCCAATTAAATGCATCAAGTGTTGAAAAAAGAAACAGAAAATTTTAGAATGAAGACAGAGAAGTGAAAAGAGTTACGTGTGGTGGTGATGGAGAGGGATGCTAGAAAGCATCCTAAGACAATTATAGGTCAAAAATGTGAGAGAAAATTACATGTTTAATATTCAGCTTTAGTACCCAGCTTTCTTGGAAATAAACATGCAATTACAGAAAATACAGCAGAAGAGCCAAGATTAAAAATCCACATGACACATGAAGGCTAGATTTGAGTTGTTCTCTAAATTGGTATAAAGGTTTCTTTCCTTAAATCCCTAATCTCAGCTCTGTATGGATGGTACAGTAGACTGGAATGTCCTTGAGAGTGACATATCTGGACATGACATATTAATGTTCATGTAAAATTCTCTTTCATTTTAGCCATTCACTTAGCAGGTGTTCATAAAGCATCTGCCTCACTAAAGACCTGCAGGGATCCAAACAGTCTCTGCTTGTGGGGTGTCAACAAATGAAGTAAGAAAGAACTCGCATAACTTGATTCAGAAAAAAAATCTTAACATGTAGCAATAGGTAAAGAATAGGCAGGAGATGGGCATTAGCAAATGAGAGAAAATAGCTCTGTCAGCATTGGAGCCAGCCAAGTTCAGGCATGAAGCTTGCATGTTTGAAGCAGTTGCTGGTCCATAAATCAAGTATCTGGATGGGCAGTGAATTCGAGACCACGAACACCTGGTGACCAGCCCAGGCATAAAGGTACACTGAGGCAGGCAATGAATGACGTGTGGCCTTGGAAGTTGTGGGGGCAAAAGATACAATTGTGGGAGCTAAAGCAGCTTATTTTAGGAAAATTTTCTCTTCTTTAACTCTTTGCTAATCTAAGGCCAAAGGCTCCTGGCCTCTTTTAATTAGTTCTACAGTTAGCAGCAGGGGATTAAGAAGAAAAGCTAACTACTCAGGCTTTTTGTTCCATGACTTTTGGGCCCCTTGCTGATCAGGTGAGAGGCTCAGAGTTCCTTAACTCTGTGAGCCGGAGAAAAGAGAAAAGAAGAATATCAGGCACACAGAAAAAAGACTCACTCATTCTGGATGAAGCAGAGAAAAGAAACTCCAGCAACCATTGCATTTCTCAGTGTTTAAACCGTCTCTACAAAAAATTACCTCATACAACTATCAGGTAGATCCATTACAACATGATAACCAATTACATGGTTTTCTAAATACTTTTACATTCCAGTAAGATCATAGAAAATTTAAAACAATAGTCTATGTCAAATGTCAATATGACTTAAAGAATTACAGCAGAATTGTTTACATGTCTTTCCTTAAGACTAATACCATGCATTATTTGTCACTAGCTCCATAAGTTCATCATATGTTTAAAGTAATAATTTTTGTGTTGTAAGTTATTCTAAGTTGACAGTTTTGTTAAAAGACAAATCATCTGCCCAGCATATCTCATTATTTTGAAGTTTTGTATAGATAAACTAGTCAATATTTTACTTCCTGCCCTTGCGCCTACAATAAATTGTCCATTCATCATTTAAGACCTATAGTTAGCAAATAATGGTCTCACACCTAACCTAGAAGAAATGTTTTCCTTGATCATAATTTGTTCCAAGACTGCTTTCTTTTCCTAGTGCAAATAGGCCTAGTCACATGAAGGTTTGCAGTTTTTATATCCCATGGGAGGCTTGGGATTACTTTTATCAATTTGGGAACTCTATAAAATCATTATCAGGGATTATGAAATCATTAATTCATCTACACAGTACATTGCCATATTGATTCTGCAGGAAATGTGCCCAACAGGGTGGGCTAATGCCCAGAAATCATTAATGCTCTGTAATAGTGACAGGAAAGGCATATCATCAGTGAGAGGCAATCCTGGGATGAAGTGTCTAAGGACCCTACATTTCAGAGCTCATCTATTACAGGCTGTGCAAAAACAGTGAGCCATCTCCAAAAAACTCACATGTCTCAGCCTTTCCCAGATGGCTTCTGACAATTAACATTAATCTTGAACTGTATTGGTATGAATTCAAAATAATGGAAGGATTATAGGGAGATCAATGCTTTCCTTGTGTTTTGGTTGAACCTTCAGAAAGACCTATATACAGTGAAGGAAGTGATGTTCCCAACTGAACCACCCGGAGGACCAGGAGAGTACTCAGCCTTTCATTCCAGTCCTGTGGTATCAGTGCAGCAACTTTCATTGCCTGATTTTTCTTCCCTATAAATTAGATGTGCTCTCAGTTCTCTCAAATTCCATGGAATAAAAGGAAACAGCCACTACAAAATATTTTAGTCAAGCTTCTCTATTGATATGACAAATATTGAAATGAAAAGGTTTGTTTAGGGCCCTCATTCGCTCGTGCTCCCCGCCCGCCACCTGCGGTCTTCCATCGGTTCTCTCCCTTAGCCCACCGTCTCCCACGGAGCTCCTCGTCCTTGTCTCAGAGCTCGCGGACTCGCTCGCGGACAGGCGTCCTCAGCGCAAAGAGGCTGGATTTGGAGTCGTCACCTTGAGCCTTGCATCTGAAAAGTTTCAGGTACTTTGTACAACTGTGTCCCAGAAGCTGTGTGTTTTCAGCAACTTCATAAGTGATGGCTTCCATTAGGAAGAAACTGGTGATTGTTGGTGATGGAGCTTGTGGTAAGACGTGCTTGCTCATAGTCTTCAGCAAGGACCAGTTCCCAGAGGTTTATGTGCCCACGGTGTTTGAAAAGTATGTGGCAGATATTGAAGTGGATGGAAAGCAGGTAGAGTTGGCTTTATGGGACACAGCTGGACAGGAAGATTATGACCGCCTGAGGCCTCTCTCCTATCCAGACACTGATGTTACACTGATGTGTTTTTCCATTGACAGCCCTGATAGTTTGGAAAACATCCCAGAAAAGTGGACTCCAGAATTTAAGCATTTCTGTCCAAATGTGCCCATCACCCTAGTTGGGAACAAGAAGGATCTTCGGAATGATGAGCACACAAGGCGGGAGTTAGCCAAAATGAAGCAGGAGCCGGTAAAACCTGAAGAAGGCAGAGATATGGCAAACAGGATTGGCGCTTTTGGGTACATGGAGTGTTCAGCAAAGACCAAAGATGGAGTGAGAGAGGTTTTTGAGATGGCCACGAGAGCTGCTCTGCAAGCTAGACGTGGGAAGAAAAAGTCTGGGTGCCTCATCTTGTGAAGCCTTGTGAAGAGCAGCCTCATGCGGTTAATTTGAAGTGCTGTTTATTAATCTTAGTGTATGATTACTGGCCTTTTCATTTATCTATAATTTACCTAAGATTACAAATCAGAAGTCATCTTGCTACCAGTATTTAGAAGCCAACCGTGATTATTAATAATGTCCAGCCTGTCTGACTAGCCAGTGTCCTCTGACACTGCTCCAACAGCCCACTCTGCACTCCACCCGACACCAGGCGCTCAGTCAAAGAATTTAACTTCTAGCTTCTTTCTATAAGTTGGTAACTTTTGTGAATTAAGCTGTAACTACTTTATAACTAACATGTCCTGCCTATTTTCTATCAGCTGCAAGAACTCTGGTGAGTCACTACTTCAGAGCTTTACTTCTTAACAGATTCCATTGGCAGAGCTCTGGGGTAGGCATCCAGGTTTTGAAAACTCGTCCAGCCAGAAAGGCCCAAGTCCACGCAGCTGTGGCAGAGTTACAGCTCTGTGGTCTCATGTTAGTTACCTTATAGTTACTGTGTAATTAGTGCCACTTAATGTATGTTACCAACAAATAAATATATCTACCCTAGACTAGATGTAGTATTTTTTCTATAATTGGATTTCCTAATACTGATATTTGTCATTCCCACAGAAAGTGTATTGCATTTTTTTTTAAGAAAGTGTATTTGGAAATAAAGTCAGATGGAAAATTAAAAAAAAAGAAAAGGTCTGTTTAGAAAGAAGAGGGTTTTTTATTTGTTCACTAGCATGTATTAGTTATATATAATGGGTTCATTATAACATTTTCCTACATATACACAATACACTTTGTTCAAATCATTCCTGTTAGTCTCTTATCCTCCCTCAAAATTAATTCCTTTATACTAATTAGCCAATTTATAAATGTCTTTTTTCTTTTTTCTTCCTTTTTCCTTTGTCTCTCTCTGTCTGTCTCTCCTCCGTCCCGGTCTCTCTGTCCCTGTCTCTGTCTGTCTGTCTGTCCGCCCACCTCTCTCTCTTTCTTTCTCGTGTGTGTGTGTGTGTGTGTGTGTGTGTGTGTGTGTGATGTTTGACACAATGAATTTAATATCAGGGGTCTTTTGCTTTGTTTTTTTTTTGTTGTTGCTGCTGTTGTTTTTATTTACTGAAGCAGGGGAAGCCTACTATTCTGCTAACTGAACATAGCAATAAGATGACTTCTAATGGCATACCGTTATATCCACTGCTCATCCTCATCAGAGAAGCTTCTTGCAGTAGATTGTAATTAACATAGAGACTGGACAGTGTGAAGAAAGCTAGAGATATTAGAACATGAAACCCTACATGGGTTGTTTTTATTTTATCATACCACTCCCCTAAAAGCTCAGAAATCTATTGAGAAGAAGGGGTGGAAAGGTTCGAGAGCCACACGTGTTTGTTGATTCCAAGCAAACTGTATTTTATATACACAAATGGCTGATGCACATATGATATCAAAGAGACTTTGACAAAGTACAGCAAACAAGTAAAATCCCAGCCCTGGGAAAAGGGGAAGTGAACACAACCCCAACCTGGAAGCTATTTGTAATTGATAATCTGATGGGAGAAGGAAAGAACAATTTTCTCCACTGAAAATGAAGTGAAACCAGGTATATCAACACATTCCTGCGCAGGCCAATACAAATCAGACCCCATGGTGTTTGTTGTTGTTGTTGTTGTTTTTGTTGGGTTTTGTTGTATTTTTCATGTGCTGTTTTATTTTGTTTTGTTTTAGTTTAATGTTTTAGCTTAGTTTTAGTGGTGGTGGTGATTTTTTTTTTCTGAAGAGAAAGAACATACAGTTGAGTAAGTAGGGAACTGAGAATATCTGAGATAAGTTGGAAGAAGGGCAAGCATATGATCAAAAGAAAAGGAAAGGAAAGAAAAGAAGACGGAAGGAAGGAAAGAAGGGAGGAAGGGCGGGAGGGGGGGGGGGGGGGCGGGGGGGGGGGGGGGAGGGAGGGAGGAAGGAAGAAAGGAAGGAAAGAAGGAAGAAAGGAAGGACTTGAGTCATAATAGTCTAGGATTTTTATATTAACTCTACTTCATGTTTTTGTAAGGTACACTTTACCTTTTATAAGAAAAAAAATAGAAGAGGAAAGAAAGAAGAGGGGGTGGGAGAAGAGAGAACATTCAATAAAAAAACCTGTTCACATCTGATCTTTTATTGTTAGCTCCTCAGGAGCCATGGAGACACATGCTCCTCTAGTTCAGATTTGTCTTTCGTCCCAATGCTGACTCACTGCATACAAAGGAGAAGGAAAACAAAATGAAGAAAAAAATGATTTCTATACTTCAAAGCAAGCACAAAATAAATGGGGGCAATTTTCTGTTGCAACTATAAACACATATTTCTCCATGTTTTATGTTGACAGAAGATGTTTACTGCTTATCTCCTGGCCTTCATGAATTATTAAAAACTAGCCTTAATGAAGTAAATGTTGTATATTGAAAACCAAACTGAAAGGATTAAAAGGGACCAGAACCAAGCTACAGACAGTACTTTTCCTGTAGCACTAACAAGTTTCCCTTTAGCTGAGAACTGATCTTCTTTCCTTCTGTTGTCTAGAATTGTAAAGGGCTGGCATTTGTAATTCTAGCTCTTGGAGTGGAGGCAGGAGGTCAAGATCAGACTTATCTAAGTGGGGAGGCCAGCTGTTCCAGATGAGACCCTGAGCTACTTGGAATTAATGCCTTAGAAAAAGTCTAGGAGGCACTTCTTTCCCTCCTTCCCTTTCAGAGATTTTTCAGGCATGGCAAATTGATTTTCTTGTGGTAGGAATGAAACCAAGAACTTGGACATGCTAAGCAAGTACTCTGGCCTTCACCCCAGACTGAATTCTTTATTATGAAGTTTTTTAATGATCTATATATTTTTCAGAATCATAATTGATAAAAACATTTGCATTTCATTCAGTTTTGAGCACTGGACAGTATTGAAATTGTACAATTTTAATATATTTCTATTAATACATTTCTAGATTCATTTAATGTAGCATGTGGGAAAGGATTGTGTTTTAATCACACCTTCCCTGTCAAGGAAGCTCTCTTTACAGCAAATGGAGATCTTCACAAAAAACCCACAACTGGACACAATGCAGAGATCAATAGATCATGAGAACTCCAGGCCTCATGGATACATCGACATTACAGTTCCTGCATCTATAACTCAGGAAACATCACAGAAGAGGGGAAGGAAAAATTTTAAGAGCCAGAATAGGGAGAAGTCTGCTATGCAACTGTCTCTCTTAGGAAAGACTGCTATCCATTATCATCAAGGCAGGAGTATGGCAATGTCCAGTCAGGCATAGTGCAGGAGGAGCTGAGAATTCTAAATCTTGTTCCAAAGACAGAAAGGAGAAATCTGACACTTCTACACTGGGTGGAGCTTCAAAACCCCTCCACACACTTCCCCTAACAAGGCCATACCTCCTAACAGTACCACTCCCTATGGCCCTAGGATATTCAAACCACCACAGGGTTCTTAAAGAATTGATTCCACAAATCCTTCCACAGGATTCTGAATGATGTGACTACCACAAAGTTCTGACTGTTCCTTGCTGGAAAGCTGGGTTGTCAGGCTAACTTAGTCTCTCTCCATTCAGTCAGGCAGCCTGGTCCAGCAGAAGTCCCCTCCTGGCTTTCATCCTCTGCTTCACTTCTCTCTTTGTTTGAATGCTTCAACAAGACTATTTCAGTTCAACCAGGTAGTTAGTTGTATTTGTATTTTGTAAGTAATTTCTTGGGATTAGATAGATTGTTCAGTAGTTATGGGTTTCTGTTACTCTTCCAGAAGACCTGGGTTTGACTTTCAGTACCCACAATCCAATTTGCAATTGTCTGTAACTCCAGTTCCAGCAGATTCAATGCTCTCTTCTGGCCTTCAGAGGCACCACAGACACATACATTCAGGTAAAACATCACACACATTAAATAAAAATAAAAGTTAAAGAATAAAGGTTTTCTTATTTTCTAGTTCTGGCTTTTGCCTCCAGTATCAACTCTAACTCCCACCCAACACGTCATAGTAAGTCTTGATGAGTTTGAGGTGGGTTTGCTTTTACTAACCTTTACAGCATTATGTAAATTTATACTTCTCACATGGTAATGAAGTTGAATTCTTGATTGTCTTCATAACATAAAATTTTCAAAGAATTGCATGGCTTAATCTTTTGCCTCTAGGATAAATCTTTCTTCAGTGATGTTTATATGTAGGAGGAGCTAAGCTGGAAGGAGTTAGGAGAGGAAGAAGAAAAGGAAGAGGAGGAGTTAGAGAGGCAGAAATGTAGGAAGATGGAGAACCACACAGGTATGGAGAGTAGTTGTGGGGAACAACTTATAATTAGGTTAGCTAATTGAGATACTACTCTCTTTGTATGGGCATCTTGGTATTAATCATTATCAAACATATAAAGCTTTTGATTAATCTTTAAGCATTAGAGTCTCATTTTTTCTACAGGACCCGCATGAATGGTGAGATGGTCTGGGTAATGCCCAGGCTTGTGGAGACAGAGTGGAATATTGGTAGAGCCATCTCCCATGCTGATGTCTTGTGGGTGGCAGGGCTGATGTTTCTGGTGGGGCCACTTCTAGCTGCAGCCTGCATGTGGCCTCTGGCCAAGAAACACTGCAACTGAGCTAGGCAGAGCCACTGCAGCTTAGATAGTCGGTTTGACCAGAGGCCGATTTTAAATAATTACTACAACATTTATATATTTCATGCTTCTGTTTTTTTCTTATATCTTACAGTCTTGGCTGCTTGTAGAAGTTGGCTACTACGATTCCTCCAAAATTAGGATCCTTGAGCTCAGATCTAGTTTCTTTCTCATTGAGTATGGGTCCAACATGGTAACTCACTGGTAACGAATTAATTTTAAAAGACAATATAGTAAGGAATTGGAGTCTACAACATAAAAAGCAATCTCAATCTCTCTCTCTCTCTCTCTCTCTCTCTCTCTCTTTGAAATTGCAGGGGAAGCTTTATGAGATAACCCTGGGTTAAAAATCTGAAGTCTTTAGCCAATAGCAGCAAGTAACAAAGGACCTTGACCCTGTGTAAGCCTCCTCCTAATCAAATCAAGCTGCTGGAGAACATCCTGCAACCCTTGACAGTCTGAAGCTTTCATC